TTTCACCTATTTGGAATAATGTGTTTGAAGCTAATTTTTCCTGTGAATAATTTGATTCACGTGCTTCTGTTAGTGAATATTTGACTGTCGTTGCCCTAGCAACTTAAAAAAAAATACTGTACACTGAATGGCATTTTCAGTAACACAGGAGGTTATTTCTCCAAACTGTCAGATTGATGGGTGCACACGTGTTAATTCAAGATGCTATTGCTATAGGCACAAAATTAGACTTTTGACCAAAAAATGATCTTCGCTCTTTAATATTTGGTTGTCTCAGAGGATTGTTTGAGATTTTGTTACATCACAATTAAAAGGCTTTAGACTTACAAGGCTATTCACTAAACACCAGATTTTGTCCAGTTTGCCAAAATCCAGTGAAAATGACCAAATTGTGACCGTAATGACATTTATCATATTTACTAAAGTTAAATATAATCAGAATTTCATTCAGCGTAAGTACATCTTCAGCATTTGTTGGATGCATTTGATGTTCAAATTAAAATCAGTGCTTTTGCATCTGATGAGTAGCAGGGAACTAATCCTGGTACCGCTGCTGCTGGTGGTACCACACTGTTGTCCAAACTCTGGAGGCTTGGCCCTGGAGGAAAAAAATCCATCTGCCTCCCTTCACCTTGCTCCTGTTATGGGTGAATCTTTGATGGGAACACTGTATCTGTCTCTGGCGCTAAACTCTGCCCTCCTGCCTCCTAGCTCTGTCAAAGTCTAGACTGGACTGGCAGGGACCTCAACTCTTTGTTGTCTACAGAACAGGCTTACACAGTGACAATACAGTTGGCTAACAGAACACCGAGGATGTCATCAAGTCACAGCATTAAGTAGTAAATGAGAGCTGCTTTTTTTTTCTTTATTCTCTCATGGTTAACATAACACTGAGAATGTCATCAAGTCACAGCATCAAGTAGTGAATGAGAACTGCTTTTTTATGTATTCCCTCATGGCTGACGGAACACTGAGGATGTCATCAAGCCAGTGGAGCATGCAGTTAGAGAAATCATATATAGGTCCTTCTTGTAATTTTAAGAAGGGGAGACCTGTCCTGAGCCAAGTTCTCCTAAGTTCTTCAGGCAAAGTTGTCAGGATTTCAGATGCATCTGTCTTTCAAAACAAGGGACAGTCTTTTCCCCATCTGTGTGGGAACTGATGACTGGAGATCAGAGTGACCTGCTCTGCATTCCTTTGCCCCTGCCAGTGGCAAAATTCTAGAAACAGCATTCCTGAATTCACCGCAGCATGTGGGAATGAATAACAAGCTCATCTTGGGCCCACAGGAGCCATTCTTTAGAAACATCACATCAAGGACCAAATTCATCCAAACATGTGGGGATAGATGGCAGGCAAGTCCCCTAGGGGCCAAACTCATAAACAGCAGCCCTTGGGATTGGATTCACTCCAGCCATACAAGCATATGTGGAGTGAATTCATAGGGACCCAGCAATCCTGAGGACTGAATTCACCCTTGCCAAGCAGAACCGTGAATGGGAAAAAGAGGGGCCATAACCTATCGGGGGAGTGGGGATAAAGTCCAACCTCCCTGACACCGTCACTTATTGTGCAGAGCTGAAAAAGACTTTGGTCAACAGAGAGACTCAAAAGCTTGGCTCACCGGGTGATGTTCAATAGATCTGCTCCACTACTCACAAAACCTTGACCAAGAACCCTGTAGTCCATAAATGAAAAAAATCATGCATAATTTTAGTTTTAAAAAAATTATAAAAATCTTGCATGAATGCATGGTAAAAAACACAAAAAGATATAAGATTCCTAATAATTGGAATCTATAGTATGTCCACAGAACCCTATGTAGGGCCCTGGTATGTATACACAAAACAATTAAACTGCAGGTGATCCCCAGCAAAACAGGCTATGGGAGCACCAAAAAAAGGATCTCTGGGTATGCACTTATATATATATACTAATTAAAAAACTTTATTATAGGGTAAAAAATTCCCCAAAAGAAAAGGAAACTTATAAACTAAACACACCGGGGAGACCTCAATCTATATACAAGTGGAATAAGGCAGTCATAATATATTGCTGAGAAAACAGAGCGTTATATAATGTTGGTGTTCAAAATCTCAATAGATGGGAGTGATCTCTACTAGCTTGAATCACACCCTTAATATATCGATAATGATACTACTCCCTAAGTAATGGAGGAATAATTATCCCAATTAAAATACTATATTGAGCTAAATGCTCTAAATATTAGATAGAATTCCTCAAAATACAAAACTTAGAAACAATAGAAACGATTTGAACTGATCTATATAGGATAGATACAAAAGATCTCCACTCAGAGACAAGAGATATAGAAGTATCCAATCTGTCTTATATTAAGGTCTCCAAAGTTCTAATTAACTCGGAAAATGTAAATGATACAACTGTATCTATCGGTATAGAAGTGATAACTTTTCTCAAGTGGTAACTAGATCCTATACTGCAATATCTATCTGCCTATAATCCGATATCATAGAGTCTAAACCTAATACTCCATAAGTTTAGATAGATCTCGCCCCCCCACTAAGTGAACACATCACTCCGTGCTGTGATTTAAAAGAAAGCATAAAGCCTAACGTCCGTTTCGGTGCTGCTAAAGTGCCTTTTTCAAAGGTAAATGTGGCACTGAAAGATTACAAATATATACCAAGAAGCATTACCCTGTGGACCAATCCGGAGTGTGGGCGTGATTATCGCCTTCCCGCCGGAATTAATGGACACCTGGCTCTTACTTTTCAGCACCGCCCCTCAGCATGTATTACGGGTAGGTCTGAAAAAGTTGTTTAGAGCCGGTAGCCATGGTACCCGTTTTCATGAATGGGTTTCGTCTATTGTGAGTCCTGCCCATTGGGGCGTTTCAATAGACGAACCCATTCATTGCCATAACGGGTATCTTATGTGATTAAGCATTCATATGGTCCTATCAAGGGTTATATATTAGAGAATAGAAACAGAGGGCATTATCATGTATATAATTACTTTATTAAAACACTATAGTGTCGAGTAATTAATTGACGAAATAAATAGAAAAACATTGCATATCAGGGGCTAAGGGAACCAATATCCTAGTGATTATAATTCAAATAGTGTATTATAATATTGAATATGGGGTGCCTCTCACAAGGGAAGTTCATTTCGTTAGAACATTGGAATATTATAGTATGCGATAGATACCAATATAAGTGTGTCCACCGTGGTGATAACGAAGTTATTTTATTCACCCCACATCTATAGTTGTGCATAGTTATAGATAGTCCCTGATGACTATATCTAGATCTGCTTTTCTTACAGAGAGTAAAAACTCTTCAATTAAATATTCGGATTACTCGATACCCGTATTTTATTTAGTATGAATCCCCCTTATGTATCAATTCTCTATACAGGAGTATATCATACTAATAAATTATTATAGTCAGTACGTTATCCTAATTCATACTTTAAGTCGTGAATCGACCCTATAGCTGATTACTATTCTCAAGATGTCATTAAACTCACTATACGTGTGCGTTCAATTCATCAATCAGTGCCATTATGCTTAGACCCTATAATATTCTTTAATTAAAATATAAAAATAATAGTAAATGTGCAAACAACCAACATATATACATTTTTGAATTATAATCACTAGGATATTGGTTCCCTTAGCCACTGATATGCAATGTTTTTCTATTTATTTTGTCAATTAATTACTCGACACTATAGTGTTTTAATAAAGTAATTATATACATGATAACGCCCTCTCTATTTCTATTCTCTAATATATAACCCTTGATAGGACCATATGAATGCTTAATCACATAAGATACCCGTTATGGCAATGAATGGGTTCGTCTATTGAAACGCCCCAATGGGCAGGACTCACAATAGACGAAACCCATTCATGAAAATGGGTACCATGGCTACCGGCTCTAAACAACATTTATACATAATACATGCTGAGGGGCGGTGCTGAAAAGTAAGAGCCAGGTGTCCATTAATTCTGGCGGGAAGGCGATAATCACGCCCACACTCCGGATTGGTCCACAGGGTAATGCTTCTTGGTATATATTTGTAATCTTTCAGTGCCACATTTACCTTTGAAAAAGGCACTTTAGCAGCGCCGAAACGGACATTAGGCTTTATGCTTTCTTTTAAATCACAGCACGGAGTGATGTGTTCACTTGGTGGGGGGGGGGCGAGATCTATCTAAACTTATGGAGTATTAGGTTTAGACTCTATGATATCGGATTATAGGCAGATAGATATTGCAGTATAGGATCTAGTTACCACTTGAGACAAGTTATTACTTCTATACCGATAGATACAGTTGTATCATTTACATTTTCCGAGTTAATTAGAACTTTGGAGACCTTAATATAAGACAGATTGGATACTTCTATATCTCTTGTCTCTGAGTGGAGATCTTTTGTATCTATCCTATATAGATCAATTCAAATCGTTTCTATTGTTTCTAAGTTTTGTATTCTGGGGAATTCTATCTAATATTTAGAGCATTTAGCTCAATATAGTATTTTAATTGGGATTATTATTCCTCCATTACTTAGGGAGTAGTATCATTATCGATATATTAAGGGTGTGATTCAAGCTAGTAGAGATCACTCCCATCTACTGAGATTTTGAACACCAACATTATATAACGCTCTGTTTTTTCAGCAATATATTATGACTGCCTTATTCCACTTGTATATAGATTGAGGTCTCCCCGGTGTGTTTAGTTTATAATTTAAGGTTTTCTAAGTTTCCTTTTCTTTTGGGGAATTTTTTACCCTATAATAAAGTTTTTTAATTAGTATATCTATAAGTGCATACCCAGCGATCCCTCTTTTGGTGCTCCCATAGCCTGTTATGAATGCATGGTATGCTTGGAGAGAGATGGCACACTATTGGTATGTCTTCCTTACGGTCTCTAAGTGAGTGGCTCTCCCCAGTGCTCTTGTATCTTACTAATGCTCCTCGCGGCTTCAATATCATCACTTTAAAGGGGGATTCTGACTTAGAGGCATTTGGTCATAATCCCACACATGGTAACTTTTCCCCATTGACTCCTTATCCAAGCACATACACCAAATAGCTGCACCTGTAATTCCTCTCATACTGAGCATAATCAGAACACATCAGAAGTAAAACTAACATGTCACGTGTCTTAATCCAACTCAGATCCTGTATTAGTGGGGAACAATCCAGTGTTTCATGATTTCTGCTTCAAAATTAAGATCTGACATCAAAGGATTGAAAAGCAACTCACTATGAAGGCGTGGCCACCACAAGATAGCTATCTCCTGCTTAAAAACACCTCATGTAAATATGCCGGGCCCCTTACTCCCTCTAGACATACACTCTCGCGCATATAAAAATGCATGGGAGCGCCAGAGAGCTTTTCCTCATATAACAGTCCCCTTATCTTGCAACCAGTCTCAGATTCATCCCGAATGTTGAATTATGTTTTATTTTAAAAGAGGTGCCGTGTTATAGCAATGTCAATGTACAATCTTTTTACCTGCATTTTGCACAATTGTTCTATTCCAACAATGTCAATGCAATGCACCACCAAAATAAAGAATTATTAAAAAAAACAAAAACAAAAAAACCACGTCATTCACTGTATTTCTACTGAAAATAAGATTACGTAAGCTTTTGCTCTTCTGCTCCACTGGAGGTTTCTGTCCTGAACTCACTTTAGTACACCTGCATTATAGTTGGATTGATGTACTGTCCCGGTCAAACTCAACACCTGTCACTGTCCTCATAGGTTGTAGTACTGGGCATTAACTTATTTATTTACCTCTCTGCTGCCTTTGATACTTTTGATCATGTGTTCCTTCCTCAAATTCTTCGGTCCCTCAGTCTTTGTAACACTGTCCTCTCATGGTTCTTGTCCTATCTCACACAACTTTCATTTAGTATCTCCTTTTCTAAAGACATCACTTCCTCTCATCCTGTCTCAGTTGGAGTACCCCAAGGCTTTGTTCTTGGTCCCCTTTTGTTTTCTCTTTACACTGCCTCTCTTGGCAAGCATATTAATTACTTTTTTATTCCGATCTCTACGCCTAGTACACTAAGATATGTTTCTCTATGATCTCTATACCTAGTACACTCAACTCAGTGAAAGACTGCATTTTACATCCTGCAGTGAAACACCTACCACCCTCATGCACTGACCGAAGCTTGGAAGATATTCCACCTCATGTATTCCTGGATTGCTAACATTCTCATGTGTTTCTATAGATTTGTTGACATTTTACTTGTAGTTTGCCACTGTAACTTTCTGTGCATGCAGTTTGTACTATAGTCATTTAATGTTTTTGACCAATATTTCATGTAGACAGTTATTAATATTTTGGGTGATAGAATTTGGTGGCTAAACTTTTCAATAGTATTTAACACATGGCTACTCTACCCCCCCTCCCTTATTTGTGCCAACAAATTCCGCATCGCTTTACAGTGGGTGAACAAACAAACATGTAGTTGTAACCAGACAAGTTGGATACACAGGAACAGAGGGCTTGAGGGCCCTGCTCAGTGAGCTTACATGCTAGAGGGAGTGACCCAAAAGGTAAGGATAGTATTAGACTAATGACAGTTTTAAAAGAGGAATCAGTCGGGAGCTATTAACAGTTTAATTGATACACTTTTATGAAGAAGTGTTTTTTTAATGATTTTTTTTGAAGAAGTGGAGACTGGAGGAGGGAAGTGAGTTGCACAGGAACAGTGCAGTCCTCAAGAAGTCTTGAGTACAAGCATTAGAGGGAGTGCAGACAGAAGATAGACGGAACATACATGTGTATTAGGGAGGATAGATAGGTGGGAACAACATTATGTAGAGATTTGAAAGCAAGAACAAGAATTTCAAATTGAGCCCTATATCTTACAGGAAGCCAATGTAGGGACTGACAGAAGGGTGAGGCATGGGAGGTGCAGGCAGACAGGAAGATGAACCTCACCGCTGTGTTCATTATGGACTGTAATGGCGCAAGTTGGGAGCATGTAAGACCACTAAGAAGTGGATTATAGTAGTCAAGGTGAGAAAGGACAGTGGAATGGACCAGCATCTTAGTCGCATCTGGCGTTACGTAGGGTCAGATGCGCACAATGTTTTTGAGATGGAAGCAGCAGGATTTGGCAATAGACTGAACATGAGGCGTGAAGGAGAGGTTGGAGTCAAAGAGAACACCTAGGCAGTGAGCGTGCGTGGTGGAGTTGATGGTAGCACCATTGACTTGGAGGGAGACAGACACATGAGTAGCAACACTTGAGGGAGAAAAGACCAGAATTTCAGTTTTGGTCAAGTTGAGTTTAAGGAAGTGGGCAACCATCCAGTTAGAAATAGCAGAGAGGCAGTCAGAGACACTACTGGGACAGGGAAAGATCAGTAGAGGACAGATAGATTTGAGTGTCATCTGCATAGAAGGGATATTGGAAGCCAAAGGAGCTAATGAGTTTACCAAGGGAGGCAGTATAGATAGAGAACAGTAGGGGACCAAAGACTGAACCTTGGGGGACACCAACAGAGAGGAGTTGGGGAGAAGAAGCAGAGCCAGAGAAAGAAACACTGAAAGAGCGCTGGGAGAGGTAGGAGGAGCACCAGGAGAGAGCAATATTTTGTAGACCGATATTGCGGAGGATGAGAAGAAGCTGTTGATGATCAACAGTGTCAAAAGCCGCAGAAATGTTAAGGAGAATTAGGTTAGAGTAGTGACCACAAGATTTTGCAGTGAGTAGATCATTGAATACTTTGGTCAGTGCTGTTTCCACAGAGTGCTTAGCGCGGAAACCAGACTGAAGCGGGTATAGCATAGAGTTGGACTCGAGGAAGTCTGTCAATCTTGCATACACAACTCTTTCAAGGATCTTGGATGCAAAAGGCAGTAGCGAGATAGGACGGTAGTTGGATGGGGAATTAGGGTCAAGGCAGTGGCGTACTAAGGGGGGAGGTGGGGGGGCGGTCCGCCCCGGGTGCAACCGGGGTGGGGGGTGCCATGACCAGCCCCGCTGACCCCCCCCATGCTGCAACCGCCCGAGCCCTTTTTAGAGAGCCTCAGGCGGCTGCAGCTTTGCCCGGGCGGTGCGGTCCGCAGCATGGGGAGAGGCTGACAGGAGGGAAGCGCTCAGCGCTCCCTCCTGTCAACTTCCTTTGCTGTAGCGTGGCCGAGCCCTGCAGCATGGTCCGACGGGTACAGAGAGCAGCTGTCTCCTGTACCCGGCCGGACTAACAGGAAGTGCACACAGAGTGTTCACTTCCTGTTAGTCCG